GCGTATAGTTAAGGGTATAAAAGAACGCCATTGACCATCCGACTATGTTGCTGTGCATAGGTGCAGTCTCATTATCAACACTGCACATAAACGCGGGCCTAGCAATTACAACAGGTATTCGAGATGAGTGAAAGCTAGGAGAGATACGAGTACAATTGGCCGTCGTTGCTCATTGGATTGGGCTGCCGCGCATATGTGGGGAACTGTAATCAGCGTCGTACGGAGACACGGATCCGGCAGCTACAATAGGTGGTCGAGGTGAGTGACAACCGCTACCGTTATCGTGGTGACCGCTTTATGGTGGTCATCAACGTCATAGTTATAATAGGAAAGACGCCCACAGCCATCTCGTAACACTGTATTACCTACAAGCTAGTTATGCTTATCTAGGAAATGGGATCATCCACAGATGTCCCTCGCACTGCCACTGCAAGTTTGTGCTGTTATCTAACTTTATTGCACTTATTGGAATATGAGATCCATGAGGAAAATGTGTTGTGAGCAGGTTCGTCGAACAAAAATATCCCATTTGTTAAATCTGAGGTGTCTAAAGCAAACAAACGCCTATGATGGCTCGTATAGGGTGGCATTTACATTAAATACTCTTAAGATATTATTTTATTCTTCAGGGACACGGAGGAACGCCAAAATACGCTAAAGTGCGATTTCGTGTTTTATGTCGCGTAAGCCGGCAAAAAATGCAAGTCGGCGATGGTCAATGACCTTGACATTTCGCTCAATTAAACAAAACGCTACGTGTAACACATCACGGGAAGGTGCAAATTAATTAGACTAACTCCCCATTAAAATAGCAACTTCGAAACCTCTATAGTTTCGGCGAACTCAATTTGGGTGTGCCAATAGCCTGCGGCGAATAGTATCAAGCGTGTGAAGGCAGTTTGAAAAGTGATAAAAATATGAATTTAAACAAGTGATGATACGGTTCAATTGAGGAACCAGGAGGACGCTCATAGTTTGTGCAACGCAATGTTTTGGTGGATGGGATATAGAGAGGGTGATGCGATATTAATAAAATGTCAATGAATAGCGGGCAGGATTGGGCGGGACATTTGATTTTATGCTGTTGAGTTTAGGGTGTATTATACGGTGTCTGTCAGTTTGGTTGATGTATGTGTAGGTATTGGTGGTGCACAACCTGGCTCACTGGGCTTTGACTCATGAGCTTTATTTCTGTTTTCGATCCACAGAAATTGTCGCGAACACCTGCCTTCGGAGAATCGCTGTCCCCTCTTGCTTCCATAGCGTGCATATTACACAGGGGGATTGGGTGGGAGAAATTTTCATGAGTTTTGTGCGTTACATTAGGGTCGCCTAATTAGTCGCGATATTTTGTAGTTCAACTTCGCCCTGCCAAGATACTATTACAGGAAATGTGTTGCATAAATTCCGTTGGAAACACCAACCTAAATTTACAGTAAGAAAATCTGACGAGCATATTACACAACATGTTTCAATCAATCTGGTTTGGTCGTATAATGTTTGGTTTTGCTTGGACTGCAACATACGTTTTCGAAATCGCCTAAAGTCACTTGCCTTCGAATTTGGTATCGTTATTAAACGACAACGATAACAAATGATAACTTCTGTGTATTCCTCAACCAAACGTGTTACCTCTGCGTAAGCAGCTGAAAATTAATTTTGATTTATATCTCCTTTAAGCTTTTCCTATTCCCTTCACGGTGACCAGATTTGTATGACGTAAAAGTAAGTGGTGGTCTAACTTTTCGAAAGTTTTATCCCGGTGCACGTACAAAACACCACTTATAGATTTCCCATTATAAGCGCATCTATGAATTGATCGTGCTACAGAAATGCATGGTTCAATATGAAGAATACGAATACTTATGTCAAACATCCAACTTGGCTGTGGCATCCATACCAACTCAGAACGATGCAGCAAACAAGACCACATCGTCGGTTCTCTTCATACTTGTTTGTACCAAATAACTCACCTGAACGTTTTGAAGACGGATTTCGTCACTCGGCGCAAACAGAAAGCTTTAGCAACGCACATCTGCCTTTCATCTACAATACCATAAGCAACTTGCCAAAGTTCTCTTCTCATTTACAAGGGGTTTGCTACTTGGCATTAGACACAATTCAGTTTTTAAAACACACTTTTAGTTTGTCTGGTTAGTCATATTCGAAAATCGAGTCCCACTGTCTAAAAAGTGAAGTACTCAAACACCGAAATCTTTAAGAGAAAATATTGTCGGTAAGTCCACTCATTTGCATGTCAGTTTTTTCTACGGTAGACTCAGCTGAATCTATCGTTTATGCCGTTTTGCAACTGAATATGCTGCATCAAGAAGTGAGAAACGGGTCGTGGGTTGTAAAAGGGTTTTGAGAAACCTTGTGAACAGTTTTCTTAAAGAAATTGTTTTCATTTATCCTTTTATCTGTTTTCAAGCTCTGTGCTAAGGGACCTTGCTTCCATAGCGTGCATATTACACAGGGGGATTGGGTGGGAGAAATTTTCATGAGTTTTGTGCGTTACATTAGGGTCGCCTAATTAGTCGCGATATTTTGTAGTTCAACTTCGCCCTGCCAAGATACTATTACAGGAAATGTGTTGCATAAATTCCGTTGGAAACACCAACCTAAATTTACAGTAAGAAAATCTGACGAGCATATTACACAACATGTTTCAATCAATCTGGTTTGGTCGTATAATGTTTGGTTTTGCTTGGACTGCAACATACGTTTTCGAAATCGCCTAAAGTCACTTGCCTTCGAATTTGGTATCGTTATTAAACGACAACGATAACAAATGATAACTTCTGTGTATTCCTCAACCAAACGT